CCATTGTCTGGCCGATCATTACGGGCGACCGGTCGCATTCGCACTGACGCCAGGCAATGTCGCTGACATCTCCATGGCCATACCCTTGCTGGAGACAGCAGGCGTTACCCGACGGCTCCTGGCGGACAAGGCCCATGATGCGGACAGTCTCAGGAACTGGCTCCGCTCCCGGAGAACGACAGCCGTCATTCCATCAAGTCAGGCGCGCCGCATGCCGTACCCGCTGGACCGTAAGGCCTACAGAAGGCGTAACGTCATCGAACGCCTTTTCTGCAGGCTGAAAAACTGGCGGCGGATCGCGACAAGATACGATCGACTAGCGCAGAACTTCCTGTCAGCCATCGCTCTCGTCGCTGTCGTAAGCGAATGGACCTGATTGAGTCCCCAACCTAGGGTCGAGGTGATCGCCGGCAGCGTATCCGCCGGCTTGTTGCGCCTCAATCACAACGGAATTTTGCTACGCGGCGAGATCGCTATCAGCGACGCAGCGCCTGCGATCATCACCGATCTCGGTCTGATGCTGCAGCCAGGCGACACTGTGTCAGTGCATCTGGATGGCGGCGTCATCACGGGCCCCTGGCTGGTGGCCGTGCAGATTGACGGGAGGGCTGTCTGATGCCGACGCTCACCTATACCGGGCTCGGTCGCCCCGTCATCGCATGGACGCTGGCCGACCTGTTCCGCCACGGACCTGCAGGCCACTGCACTGATGGGGTGGCGCCCGCGAGCGGGCGGTTGTTCCAGGCAAACAGCACAGCCACACCAATCACGACGCATACGCAGCCCGTGGGTCTTATCCAGCCCGTCCATGGTGGCTACGAGCTGGCGCAATCCGTATCGGCGGCGCGCCCGTCCTCATCGCGCGAACCGGTTGGTGGGCGTCGCAACCTGTGGCCTGTCAACAGTGATATGGCGGGGGCTCACGGGTACTCGGCGCTCTCGCGCGTGGAGGACTCGGGGAGTGTGTTGCTGCGGCCGACAACGGAGAACACAGCGCACTGGCAGCGCACCGATAGCATTACAGTCAACCCCAGCGTCACCTATACAATGGTGGTCGAAGCCAAGGCGGCCGGCTACGACGGCGTCAGTCTGACGGCAGGTGGCGGCGCAACTGGCGCTGGCGGTATTGCGCTCAACATGGCGACCGGGCAGACGGCCCAGAGCGCCACGTCCGAGGCGCTGGCGCTGGGCGATGGCTGGTGGCGCATCCTGGCCGAGTTTACTGCGGGGGCGAGCCAGACCGCGTTGCCGCTCTACATCAATGTGCGCACCTCGCACACCGGCAGCGCCGTCTTTGCCGGCGATGGCTCCAGTGGCGTCCTCGTGCGCAACGCGCGCCTTGAGCGCGGCGCGCTGGCGGAGGTCAAGGCGCGCGCCTACCAGAGCGTGGCCAGCCCGACCGATAGCACACAATCCGGGACAGCTTACCTGTGGTCGGTGCGCACGGACGGGGTCGACGACTATCTGGTCGGGCCCGCGTCCTGCAACATCAACCAGCCCTGGTATTTCGCGGCGATGATTTGCGTCGACGCCGTTGGCGGCGTGGCGGACGATGTGCGCCCGCTGTGGGGGCTCTATGCCTCTGGCAACACCCGGCTGGGCCTTGCGCTACGCTCCAGCGGCGGGTTGCGTCGCGTCAGCATGCTGCACCGGGACAGCGGCGGCGCGACCACGGCCACAACCGCCACGGACGCGGATTATGCCTATGGGGAACGAGTGATCGTTGAGGGCTGGGCAGACGGGGCACACCTGCGCTGCGCGATCAACGGCGGCGCGGTTCGGAGTGTGGCCTTTACGCCGGGCGCGAGCCCGACGCTGGCACCGCTGCGCCTTGGGCGCGGGCAATGGCATTGCGGCGACGCGTTATTACGAGGCCCTCGCCATGCAGGGCATCCCCAATGATCGGGAGCGCGCAGCCGTGCGCGCCCGTTGGCTGGCGAGGTATGGCGCATGAGCGACTGGATCCGGATTACGATTGCCTGCCCCGAGGTGATGATCGCCGACGCCAACCAGCTGGCGTCGGCGCTGGGGTTCAGCGCCGCGGACGCCAACACGTTCGGGGCGTCGCTCTGGCAAAATTCGGATGGGGCGCGCTATGCCGTGGCCTCGACGCTCGCGCGGCCATCGTTCGCCGCCGACGCCATGTCACCCCTGTCCGTCCCGGCCTGGGGCGCGGACATGGAGGCTGCGGCGCGGGCCCAGACCGCGCTCGCCGTCTACGATGCCGGCCACGACGTCATCCCCTTCGCCGCGCCAGACAGGGTGGCGGCGGTGCTGTTCGCAGATGCGCCAGAGGCGATTACCATTCTCGGCGTGTTTCCAATCCCAGCCGG